CCTCCTCTTCTTCCCTCCTCTTTCTCCTCCTCTCTCCCCTCCCCTATACTCCCCATTTGCTCAGGAGCTCTTGTCCCTTTCTGCTTCACTGGGGGACTGTGTATGTCTCTCCTTCGGTCTCCTTGTTTCCTAGCTTTTCTGGAGGTGTGGATTGTAGGCTGGTAATCCTTTTCTCTATGTCTAATATCCATATATGAGTGAGTACATACCGTGTTTGTCTTTCTGTGACTGGGTTACCTCACTTAGAATGGTTTTTCTTCTAGTGCCATCCATTTGCCTGCAAATCTCAAGATTCATTGTTTTTTTTTCCGCTGAGTAGTACTCCATTGTGTAAATGCACCACATTTTCTTCATCCATTCTTCAGTTGAGGGGCATCTAGGTTGCTTCCAGGTTCTGGCTATTACAAATAATGCTGCTATGAACATGGTTGAACAGATGTCCTTTTTGTGTGAATGTGTATCTTTTGGGTATATGCCTAAGAGTGGAATTGCTGGATCTTGTGGTAAACTGATTCCCATTTTCCTGAGGAACCTCCATACTGATTTCCAAAGTGGCTGTAGGAGTTTGCACTCCCATCAGCAGTGGAGGAGTGTGCCCCTTTCTCCATATCCTCTCCAGCATAAACTGTCATTGGTGTTTTTGATTTTAGCCATTCTGACAGGAGTAAGATGGTATCTCAGAGTTGTTTTGATTTGCATTTCCCTGATGACTAAGGATGTTGAGTACTTTCTTATGAGGCTCTCAGCCATTTTAGATTCCTCTATTGAGAATTCCCTATTTAGTTCTGTACCCCACTTTTTAATTGGATTATATGGTGTTTTGGTGACTAGCTTCTTGAGTTCTTTGTGTATTTTACAAATCAACCCTCTGTCAGATGTGATGTTGGTGAATATCTTTTCCCATTCTGTGGGCTGCCATTTTGTTTTGTTGACTGTGTCCTTTGCCTTACAAAAGCTTCTCAGTTTCAGGAGGCTCCATTTATTAATTGTCAATTTCAGTGTCTGTGCTACTGGTATTATGTTCAGGAAGCGGTCTCCTGTACTAATTCATTTGAGGGTACCACCTATCTTCTCTTCTAAGAGGTTCAGTGTGGCTGGATTTATGTTGAGGTCTTTGATCCATTTGGACTTAAGTTTTGTTCATGGCGATAGATATGGATCTATCTGGAGTCTTCTACATGTCAGCCTCCAGTTATGCCAGCACCATTTGTTGAAGATGCTTTCTTTTTCCATTGTATAATTTTAGCTTCTTTGTCAAAAATCAGGTGTTCATAGGTGTGTGGGTTAATATCAGGGTCTTCAATTCGATTTAATTGATCTACCTGTCTATTTTTGTGCTAATAACAAGCTGTTTTCAGGACTATAGCTCTATGACAGTGCGTGAATCAGGGACGATGCTGCCTCCTGATGTTCCTTTATTGTACAGGGTTGTTATGGCTATCCTGGGTCTTTTTTTTTCTCCATATAAAGTTGAGAATTGTTCTTTCATGGTCTATAAAGAATTTTGCCTGGATTTTGATGGAGATTGTACTGAATCTATAGATTGCTTTTGGCAAGATTGCCATTTTTATTACGTTGATTCTACCTATCCAAGAGCATGGGAGATGTTTCCATTTTCTGGTATCTTCTTTAATTTCTTTCTTTAAAGACTCAAAGTTCTTGTGATACAGGTCTTTCACTTGTTTGGTTAGTGCTACCCCAAGGTATTTTATGCTATTTGTGGCAATTGTAAAGGGTGATGCTTCTCTGATTTCTTTCTCAGCCCTTTTATCGTCTGTATATAGTAGGGCTACTGATTTTTTTTTTAGTTGATCTTGTATCCTGACACTTTGCTGAAGGTGTTTATCAGCTGTAGGATTTCCCTGGTAGAGATTTTAGGGTCACTTATGTAAACTATCATATCATCTGCAAATAGTGAAAGTTTGACTTCTTTTCCAATTTGTATCCCCTTGATCTCTTTTTGTTGTCTCATTGCTCTAGCTAGAACTTCAAGTACAATATTGAAGAGAAATGGAGACAGGAATCATATTGAGTTTCTCTCCATTTAGTTTTATGTTGGCTGTTGGTTTGCTGTATATTACTTTTATTATGTTTAGGTATGTTCCTGTTATCCCTGATCTCTCCAAGACCTTTATCATGAAGGGGTGTTGGATTTTGTCGAAGGCTCTTTCAGTATCTAGTGAGATGATCATGTGGTGTTTGTGGATTTTCATATGTTGAACCATCCCTGCATCCCTGGGATGAAGACTGCTTGATCATGGTGAATGATTTTTCTGACATATTCTTGGATTCGATTTGCCAATATTTTATTGATTATTTTTGCATCAATGTTTATGAGGGATATTGGTCTGAAGTTCTCTTTCTTAGTTGTGTCTTTGTGTGGTTTGGGTACCAAGGTAATTGAAGCCTCATAAAAATAATTTGGTATTGACTCTTCTGCTTCTATTGTGTAGAACACTTTGAGGAGAATTGGTATTAGCTGTTGGATGTTTTGTTCTGCCTTCATGTTCCTCTCTCTCCCTCCCTCCCTCTCTCCCCCACTCTCTCCCTCCCCCCCCTCTGCCTCCTGGAGGGCCCGGGGACTGGAAGAGGAAGAGGCTGACTGGAGGCCCTTGGCACTCACTTCTCTGCTGGAGGGTGCAGGAGCAAGGCCTTGGTCATGTCTTTAGTTGAATAATTCACATGAGTAATTAGATCTGATCTCAAATCTTCATGCCGTTCAACAAGTCATTCTCTTTTTTACTTTTTTATTGGATACCCTTTAAAAAGCAAAAGTTTTTAAAGTTTGAAAAAGTCCCATCACTTTTTTTTCTCTCTCATAGATGGTGCTCTTGATGCCATGTTTGAGGAATCTTTGCCTGTCCCAAGTCTCAGACATTTTTCTTCAGACGTTTCAGTTTGGGAATTCACTCTAAACTGTTGACTACATTTTGAGTTGACTTGCATATAATAATCAGCAGTATTGATATCTAAAATATGCATAACTGTGTTCTTTTATGTTATATATCAAATTTCATTTTATAAATCACTAGCAGGCTTTTCTTTGCACATTGAATTGCACTGTTGTCTTTGTTAAAAGTCAGTTGGCTTATTTCTGAGCTCTGCTCTGCCCCAACAATGTATATGCTTGTCAAATAACACCACACAGTCTGATTTTCTGTTGCCTAATAGTAATCACTGACGTTCAGAAGTTCTTCAATGGCATTCTTTATTCAAATTATTTTGACTAGTCTTGGTTCTTTGATTTTCTACATAAATCTTACAATCAGTTTGCCAGTTTTCACAGAAGCACCTGTAGGAAGTTTGCTAGGGATTGTGTAGAAACCAAGGGAGAAGTTGACCAGTGTTGCTATTTGAACAGTACAACACTTTTGAATCCACACATGTGCTATCTCTCTCTATTTAGGTCAGAGGAGGAGGGATTGGGGTGTTTGATACTAATTCTAAACTACCATCAGTCTCATGATTGCTTAATCACTGGCGGTGAAAGTTGGAGACAACTCTTCAGAAGCCCTGACAGTCTTCTCTTTGCTCCTCCCTGTCTCTCCTTTCTTCTTCTTATACATTTGTTCGTTGAAAACAAAAACTTCAAAGGCTCAGTTATTACCGCCTATCATGTCTCTGCCCTCATCTACCGTCTAAAATGTTTATGTTGTTTTAATTTCTGGATATATACTTAATTTGGAAGTGTGTTACAAAGCAATGCTCAGTACCACATCAGGCAACACGAACACTAGGGCTTTAGCTAGTCCAGAGGACGTTGTTCGTTTGGGGTCTGAGATTGCTTTGGCATAAAAATGAATGAGCCGTGCACATGAACAGCCACTCGGAAACGTCAAGGCGCTGCTCTTGATGCTCTTACTGAAATGCAGTGCTGCAGGAATCTGTTGCATTCCGTTGACTCAGATCAGTCTTAATGGTGAAGCATATGAAAACCAAACTGTGTCAGAGGCAGTTTGTCATTTAGTAATTCCTACTTTTCTTTGATCGTGTAGCGTACTGTTGGGAAACATTGCTCAAAGGTGACTCCACGTGCATCCAAGTGCAGATGTGAGTCACGTCAGTTGACTGTGAGCTGGGTGACTGTTGCTGGCTGGAGTGGCTGAGCCCTCCATGCACCTGCCTTGTGCATTCTTGTCTTCCACTGAAGTAACCCTGAGGGTCCATGCAGAAGATGGTGACAGTCTCAAAACAGAAGCGGCCGAGTCCTCAAGTCACCACGTGGGGAACAGTGAGTTGTCCTAGCAGGAATGGTCACACAGACCTTAGTGTGTATCAGAAATAAAAGTTTAATATTGGGGCTGTTTCAGTAAATAATTTATTCTTATAAAAAGATTTTTCCTTTTCAGGGTAGGACTTTACATTAAGAGAAATAGTAACGGTTTGGATTTGTTTGCCTCTTCAATCAAGATACATAGAGTAAGGTTGGCCTAAACCAAGGAAATGACGGAATCTAATGCCCAATAAACTCATAGGAGTCTGTTCAAAGAATATATGTGTGTGTATGTACGTATATGTGTATATATTTATGTTTTGGTGTATAGTAGATTTGGGCCAGAATTCTGGCCCTTAAAATGCTTTGCTGGGTCCTGATCGGTTAGTGAATTTAACCTGTTAATTTTTACTTTAGCCTTTCTATTGTATCCCCACTCATGCAATTCATGTCCAGCCTTCATCATTACAGCTAGCACCGGGCCCGTGTTTGTAGTTGCTTGCCAGTCATCTTCATTTGCTCCTACAAAAGTATTTACAAGCTAAGTGACTAATACTAAACACCATCTTGCAAAACGCACCCTTTATTCATCTTTGTGCTGTATTGTACTTGCCTTGATAGGAAGCAGCTCGGAAAGGAAGGGTTTATTTATTTATTGTCTGAGGTGACACAGTCTGTCACAGTGGCGAAGGTATGTTGGCAGACGCCTCCATGCTTGTGGATGTGGGAGAGCGTAGTGTCTTCATGGTAGTAGGTGTCTAAGGCAGCTTGCTCTGATGTCTGGTAGATCAGGAAGCAGAGGACTAGACGGGACGGGCCATCGCTACCAAACTAAACCCCGATGACCTGCATCTTCCAGCAAAGCTCCACCTCCTACAGACTCCTAAAATAGTAGCACCAGCTGGCGACCAAGCATTCAACCACGTGAGTATTTCCGGGACAGCTCACCGGTGTTTACAGACATACTCTGTTGTGGTGGGAATTCTTCCGTTGTGCCATATACACAGGCATTGCGTGATTGATGTATAGACGCCTGGGAAACTTAATTGCACACGAAGTTCTATAGAGTTTCCCCCACAGAGCAGCGGGCTTGCTCTGTCAAATGTTCAAGACCTCAATTTGCTGTTGGCTCACCCCCAGCGCAGTCATGCGATCAGTCCTACAAATTCTCACGAACACCCCTGCAGCAGAGGAACGCCTCCCTCCAGGTCCCCTTTCCTCAAAACGTGTCCAGAAACGAAATTCCGACTGATGCATTGACCGGCACTTAACTTTAATGTTTGCTTTGCCCAAGGCACAGACCATGTCAGGGAAGATGGAGACACCTTCACGGCCTGTTAGTTACACCTCGGCAAAGCTGTCGGACAAGAGAGAAGCCTCCTGTAGCCATCGTAAATCAGCATCCCCATCTGTGAGGTCATCGGGATATTTCAAACGATTTTCAGCTCTCATTAGTCGAGGGCGTTCCACAGGCTGGCCCTTATCTTTTGTAACTTTTGCTGTCACAGCCTGAGAAAGCCTCTTGGGGGAGTGGCGTGTTCCCTGTGGGCTAGTCGGTCGTAATGAGCCACCAGCTGATGTGCCCTTTGTATATGTTGATACTAACCTTTCATGTTGCAAGATGTCGCTTTACCCTTGGCTTCTGCCATGTTACTCTCATTATTTCTAATAGGCGGCGGCAATTAGAGTCCTTGGAGCTGTTGGTCGCAGACATTCGGAGCGGGGAAGGGCCAGTCAGGGGGAACCGCCGCTTTTTCTTTACAGGAACAATGTGGTTGTGGTGCTCAGCCCAAATCTGCAGTGATGCTCAGTGGACCTCCGGCGAGGATGGGAAAGCCCACGCCCGGGCCTTTCACACGTCCTGTCCTCACGCTCACCACCGTCTGCATCCCAGCTCCTTTGTGAAGAATGACATGCTTGGCAGATATTTTAGGGCAGGGATTTGGATTAAGGACGATGCATTGAATAGAATCGGCAGTCGATGGGTATTCTCAGACAACCTCACCTCCACTCCCCATGGCTGGAAAGACGCTGACAGCCGTTTGGAGTAGCTCCTGGGTCCTTTGAGGATGATGGGTCTGGAAGGCCCCAGACTGCTGACTGCAATGTTTTGACTTTAACTCCACAGTTGTTGGAACCTAGTGGACCATATGTGAAAGGCCGTTCCTTCAAGGTCAGGGCAATTGGTGGCATTCTAACAGCCTAGCGGGAAAGAGAACGGAAAGGAGAAAAGTTCATATCAGGGCTAGTCAGTGCTAGGAAGTTACTGAAAGCACACCACAGAGTCAGCGTGCACTCTCTTTCAGCGACACCGGAGGCTCCCTGGGGAAGCACAGCCCTGGGTTGCCTTCCTTTCTGTTTCAGACCAAATGGAATTAAAGACTGAGCAGGGGATAGCTTCTCAGGAATGGCTTGGGCATGTTTCTAGATAGCACAAGTAGAGTATTTCCAAATTAATACAAGAAAGTCCCTCTATTAACCTGACCATTTGAGAAAGTAACACTTGGGGACCCCCCCCCACAGCCATTTACTGATGTGCAGCATCTCAGACCCTAAGCTACAGAGTTCTCCTGACCATGTGGCTGGGTGGCTGTTTCTGAGGGCGCCTCCCTTTTGAGACTCATTTGAAATGCACGTTCATTTCTGTCAGGTTGATCACATAAATATATGGTTGCTGCCACATGAAGAGTTCTGGCGTGCAACCAACAATCATCAAAACTTCTACCTGAATAGATAAGAACTCTCCAGAGGAATCATTGGATACCCCTCCTTCCTGAATTCCCTCCTCCCCATCCTTGCTTCTGTCCCTCCCTCCCTCCCTACTTTTAAACATTTAATCAGCTTGAATTATAAACAGGCGTTGAACTGGGAGCCATTGACGAGACACAACTTAATAATAAAATCAAAATCTAGGATGTGTCTTTTCCAGGCGACTCCTTCTGTGTCCCTCCCCCCTCCCCCTTGCTCTGTGGCTGGGCTCACAGCTAGTGGGAGGTGAAGGGACACTCTTGAGGTGAAGAGGAGACTTTAAACAAACTAATGGCATTGACTCTCCTAGTTTTCCTTCTGTTCTCATTTGGAGTACTCCCCAGGCCCCAGGATTAACAGTGGGCTTGGGGCTGGCTCCCTCATTACAGGAGGGTCCTGTCTTGGGATGTGTCAACAAGAGCAGGCTAAGACCACCGAAGGAGGGCTCAGGCCAGTGGGTCAAGCCACTGGGGAGGGAGCTTCAGCTTGTCCTGTTTTTGTTTTTGTTTTTGTTTGATTGGAGAGGATCTTAATTACTTATATATTTGTGTGTTAAAGTCTTGGTCCTTGAGAGAAGGAAAGGGACAAGCTGGCCACCCTGCTGTTTTGGGTCTGGGGTGCACAGGTTTCTGAGCCATGGAGACCCCACTGTTCACTAAATGCAGCCCAGATCACTGGGGCCAGGGCTAAGGTCCAAGGTCCACTTGGCAGTGTGTTTACATCACTCTTCAATTTCTTCATCATTTTCTACGGAGCCCTTCAAGACAGTAAGTGGTGAGAGGGTAGTGTGGCTTGAGATAGCAAGGACCGGGGTTCTGAACCAACTCATTTCATTATAGCACACAACCCAAGCCACTGCAATACACATAAAACACCCACAGAAGACCTATTAATTCCTGGAACAGCACCACAAAAAGGGATGCTTCATAGTTTGCTCTCTTTAGAAACCAAAGTCTTTTTTGTTTGGTCCTGGAGATAAAACTCAAGTCTTCATACATTCCCAGCAATCAGTTTATCAGTGGGCTGTATCTCCAGCCCCATGAGCATCATAGTCTTTTAAAAAACATGTATATGCATGTATAGTGTGTGTGTGTGTGTGTGTGTGTGTGTGGTGTACACCGGTGTGTACACACAGATAATAACCTCAGCTCAAGTGTCATTCTCTGGGATGCTGTCTACTTCTGATATGGCCTTTCTCATTGCCTTGAAGCTCACTAGTTAAGCTAGACCAGCTGGCCAGGGAGTCCCAGGAATCCTCCTGCCTCACCTCCCCAGTGCTCTTGCCATCATGCCTGACTTTTTATATGGATGCTGTGGATTTAACTCAGATGTTCATATTTGTGACGCAAGCACTTTGCCAATCAAGCCAAACCTCCCAAGTCTGACCATAATTTTTATATAACAGGTATATTAATTCCAGATTATCATCTGTCTGTTTGTCTGGCTATCATATGTCTTTTTATCTGTCTATCTATTTTCTATCATATGTATCTATCTATCATTTTAGTTTGCTAATTTTCTACAACACAGTATCATACTCTAAGTGGTTTAAACAACAGAAATTTATTGTCTCCTATTTTTGAAGGTTGGACGTTCAAGATGAAGGTGTTGGTAGGATTGTTGACTCTTAACAACTCTCTCCTTCATTTATTAATGGATGCCTTTTCCCTCTGTATATTCCCAGGGTACAAGGGTCTAGGGTCTGTATGTATAAATATTTTTGGGGAACAATTTATCCCATGATATTCTATACTTATATACTCACAAGCCTATCATCTGTTTTCTGTCTATTATCTATATGTCTATCTATCTATCTATCTATCTATCTATCTATCTATCTATCTATCTATCTATCATCTATCTATCTATCTATCAATCATCTATCTATCTATCTATCTATCTATCAATCATCTATCTATCATCTATCTATCTATCTATCTATCTATCATCCATCCATCCATCCATCCACCCACCCATCTGTTTGTTATCAAGGTACCAAAAAGGGACATTGGAAGAAACTAAAAGTGATGGCAAATTCCTGACCCTACTGAGTAAGTGACAAATACAGAACAGAAGCTAAAAGACCTCCAACTTTACAGCATTTGTGAATGCTGCCATTTGTCCTACTTCTATAGTCTTTAGAGTCAACATTTGCCTCATACAGTGTTGTATGTCTTGGAGTAGTGACTGCCTTGTTTCTTTTTGTATGCAACCAGAATTCCATGGTTACTAAGAAAGTCAAGTTCAAGAACAGGGGACCACGGGGCAAAGAGTGAATTATGGAACTAGATCTGGAAGGGATTCATACATGGCTGTGCTGTGCACGTGGTGTTGGTGATAACTCAACAAGAGTCAACACAAAGAATTTTCTTAATTTATAAGACAGAACTAGAAGGGTTTTCTCTCCCAAGTATTGTGTCCATAAATGGCCAGATCGTGAGGGACCTTTTATCTTGGCATGCTGATAGCTAGCTTGTGCCAATACACAAGGCTGAAGGAGGGCTTCAGAAAATAAAATTAAGTATGTTATGCTGAGCTACTGCTTAGAAGTAAGTTTGGTGGTGAAGGAACTGGCTATGCGGCACTTGGCTCTCTGCCCTAGAAGGAAGAACTCCAGAGAGCTATATGTGTACCTTGTGGGGGTCACCATTTTCTCCATAGTTTGTTCCTAAGAGACTGAAGACATTTCTTAGCTTAGTTTCAAGCGCCTCCTCATGAACTTGGGTGATGTTCCGGGGTTTAAATCCCTACAGTGGTTTGAGCTTTGGGTTATTTGATGCATGGGGATCTTCACCAGGAGGAGCTGTAGAGAGCGGTTTCGTCTTCCTGTGCCTCCAGCTGGACAGCTGCAGAGCAGTCTTGTCAGGCACACCTCCTGGGGACAATGGGGCTTGGCAGTGGATTACAGTCTGGTTCTTGAACTTCACACCTTCTGGTTTCAGCATGGAAACAAAGCTGTACCATTATGTGCAAAAGGCCTGTTATCACACAGTGCTGAGAGAGGACACGAGATATTCGGGCAAGGAGAGGAGGGAGGGAGGGAGAGAGAGAGAGAGAGAAAGAGAGAGGGAGGGAGGGAGAGAGAGAAAGAGAGGGAGAGAAAGAGAGGGAGGGAGGGAGGGAGGGAGGGAGAGAGAGGGAGGGAGGGAGAGGGAGGGAGGGAGAGAGGGAGGGAGGGAGAGAGGGAGGGAGGGAGAGAGGGAGGGAGGGAATAAGTACCAGGGACAAAGAAAGTAATCTTTAAGGGCAGGAAGAGGGTTGAGAGACGCTGAGGAGGAGGCCTGGGCACATTTCTTCCTGGAGCGTATACTAAATGGCTTAGTCTGAGTTCTCAGACCACTCAGTCATGTTTCTCAGGCAAAACCTGGAAGCCTTCAGCTGGACAGCGTGACTCTGCTGGGAATGATCGTTTACCATTGATACGTGGCTGGTGTGTGGCTGTGTGTATCTGTGTGACTGGTGTGTTGTGTGTGGCTGTGCCTGGCTGGTGTGTGACTGTTTGTGGCTGTACATGCTGTGCCTGGCTGATGTGTGTTTGTGTGTGACCATTTATAGCTGTGCGTAGTTGGTATGTGTTTGTGTGTGGCTGTACCTGGCTGGTGTGTAGGTGGTGTGTGCCTGTGTGTGACTGTGCATGGCTGTGTGTGGCTGTGCGTGACTATGTATAGCTGTGCGTGGCTGGTTTGTGTTTGTGTGTGGCTGTGTGTGTCTGTGTGTGACTATGTACAGCTGTGCGTGGTTGGTGTATGTTTGTGTATGTTTGTGTATGGCTGTGTGTGACTGTGTGTGGCTGTGCCTGGCTGGTGTGTGGTTGTGTGTTCTCACCACTCCTGGAGAATCTGCTGGAGCAATTTCAAGTCCACACAAACCTCTATATGGCTCTCTGTGATA